CTTCTGTCGCATCGTCTGTGCAAAAGGCTCCCAGGTATATTCCTGAGCCGTAGTCCTTGAAGTCGATCTCGTATGTTGTCAGGTACTGTTGTACTGTTACAAGCCATCGTTCGAATGCTTCTGGTCTAAGGTCTTCTCCTTTCCCAGAGAATGTCTTGGGCTGTGGGAGTTTAATTTTTGGCTTTGGTCTAGGCGGCTCTGCCGGCGGGGCAGGGGGGTCCGGAGGCGCTGGTGTACCGTGTCCGGACATGTTTTCTTCGTTGTCTGAGGAACTACTGCTGTTTTCTGGAGGCGATAGTGGCTTTCGTTCCTTTACTGGCGATTCCGGGAATTCTCCGGGTGTTCTGCCTGTATCTGGCTTTTTCCCTTTTCTCTGGGTTAGGCCTTCTAGTGGGATCTCACGCCCACTTCGAGTCGTAAGTGGATCTATATCGCACTTATTTTATTGCAGGAGCCGACCACCGTGGCCTGCCGCTTCTGCTTGGTACCGTTCGTTGCTGAATCCTCGTGGGTTGATCAGGCCCTGATTCGTCGTATCGTAACCACTCGTTGAGGTTAAAAAAATGTAACGTGTTCACGCCGGGGCGTTAATCACGCTGTCGGGTACAATAGGAGAGAAGTGATGCCTGCCGGAGACTATCAACTTCCAGGCTCGCTAAGGGAGGCTTCGGTGGTGTAATAGGAGAATAAAGATAACCGTTCAACCGAGTATATTAAAATACTGTCTGTCGAAGTCTGCCGTTTCCAAAGTAGAAGACGGCGGTCTTTTTAAGTACATGTGTTTGAGTACGATCATGAATTCTCACTCATGTTCTTACTCAATCAAAGCATAAAAATAACCAAGTATCAACCGATACTTAAAACAAAACATAAAACAAACTAAGTATCAACCGATACTTAAAACAAAACATAAAACAAACTAACCGAGTACCAGCTCCGGTTACAGGACCCCTGGAACTGACCTAGCAAGGGTCACAACACAGGGGGGTTGGAGTGCCACACGTCCGGTGAGCATCAGGATGCAGGAGGGTACGGATGCGAACGTCAGGACGCAAGAACGGATTCAGCCGACGTCCTGATTAACGGTTTGCGTCCTGTACGTCCTGTGCGTCAGACGCACAGGACCCACAGGACGTAAGAGTAAATTTTTGCTGATGCTTGTAAATATTTTTAAAAAACCTAGCTCTTGCCTTAATCCTTTGCTTAAGTATTCTCCACACATTCTTGATGGGGTTGAGGTCTGGTAAGGAGGCTGGTCACGGGTGCCATGGGATACCTAAAGTTTTTTTAGGCTTGACAAGTATGTGACCGGTCCTATGGATCGAGGCTTGTTGTTCGACATATTGAGCTTCTGAGGAAGTATCTTAGTCAAGGAGGTTTATGTAGGCTGGAGCGACAACAGGTTCGAGTACCTGATGTGGATAGTCTTAAGCTACTACTCCTTTAGGACCTGCACCATTGAGGAAGATCAATGGTGTCTTCCAGTTATCGCTTACAGCTCCCCATACCATCACAGATGTGCGGCCACTATAAAAAGTACCCTGTATGCAATGGTTGTGATAGCGCTTGCCGGGAAGTCGAGTAACCCAAACACTCCATCTTTGTGAGGTATCAAACATACACTCATCAGAAAAGAAATGCTTTCGCCACTACTCCTTAGGCTTTTACATGTGTTCATCAGCATATGCTTTATGCTTCAGCTGGGTTTGCTGACTGATGAAAGGCTTCTTGTAAGCCTTATACCATGTATACCCCTCCTGTTCCAGAGCTCATTTAATCGTCATCGGAGAAGCACTCAATCCCACCTCTTGACCTAACTATTGCCAGCACAGCTGTCGCCCCTCCCAGCCACTTTGGAGGCAAGCAATTAAGTGGTGAATGTCATGCTTATCAAGGTAGTGCCAATGTGGACGTCTGGGTCAATTTTGTCGGCAGTGTGGTCTTTGTAACTTTTTCCAGTCACTTATTGTCTGTTGCGGAACCCCTGTCTGCTGTGAAATCTTGGACTGTGATAATCCAATATTGAGTAAGGTGAGGACTCTGGTTCGCACAGGAGTATGCCATTCACTATGTGGAGGCTTTCGTGAAGGAGTAGGTCATTTTTCACTAATAGGTAGTGTCTGGTTGTTGTTGCCATGAACGATTTCTACCGGTGATTTTTGTTACCAGCTTCGTATTTGTATTGTTGGAGAGCTGTGCAAACGCCCCGCAAGACATACATGAATACCGAATCATAATCCATGAGAATTTAGAGCATTGATGTGACCATTTCTAGCGTGCTCACAGGATCGTGTTTAGCCCCATTGAGGAAGGGGGTAACACTTGAAGTCATGATTTTCTCTACTCAAACAATGATGTTATAGCCACCCCAAACTCGCCGTCGGCCTAGCGACGAAAAATAGTTACTAAGGCAGCCCAGGGGCGCGAAATTGAGGTAATCACTTGAAGTTATTTTTCATTTCACGAAGTTTCTTCATAACGCCGACTGGGTCTGTTTCTCCTGTCTTCTCTTGGATGACAGGGTCCTGTGTTGCTTATTAGCCCAGCTCGCGGAAAAAGTAAGACGGGCAAAGAACTTGCATCAACGCGCATAAAGATATTGTGCTTCTATTTAGAAGGTCAGTGGAAGAGTTAGTGTATATTCCAAGACCCTTCTCACCTTCTCATCACCAATGGTGAATCTCCCTTGGGTTTCTGCGTTCTTTTCACAGAACTTTTCCAGACTCTGTATCGCGGGTGAACAGAGGACAGATTTCCCAAAGCGAAGATTGGACTTCGTATACCTGAGTCTTCTTAGAACCAAATGATTTAGGTTATGGAGAGGAGACGATTGCTTACTCATGCCCGGGGTAAACTTTCGTTTCATCTGGCAGCGAACCAAGCGTGGAATTGAGAGCTTTATGCATTTCTTGCGCGGTCCCTTCGAAAAATCTCCCGCATCCTAATAATTCGTCTGATCAGCAAATCCTGTCGTGCTGTAATTCTGTTGTTTATGCTCTGGAAACCAATACCAGCTATAAATAGGGTATCACCCGTGAAGGCAGCCTTATCCCCTGAATCCTCCACATAGTAGCAGATACTATCCTGTGTGTGACATGGCGTGTGCAACGACTTTACTGTTATCCCCTCGCCAATCTTGAAGCTTTCTTGATCTGCCAGCTCGCGTGTTACCCCTTCGCAGTCTTTTCCACCCAGAACTTGAAGATGAGGATATTTCACTAGCTGGGTTACGTCAGCTGTTAAGGAAACAAGGGATGCTCTTTGAATAACACTTACTATTCCACCGTTGCCACCAGCGTGGTCCCTGTGGCTGCATGAGGGGTTAGCACCGCCCCTTACCTGTAATCGGCGCAGAATAATTACTGGTGAGTGTTGATGATAGCTTTCAGGTTAATCCCGTTTTCAGAGACCTCCTTCTCAAGGACGGGGAGCACTCTAAAATGAGTTAGCATGACAATTTTCCCGTACTTGATCCCCGACATACTCTGGTGGATGCGCGGGGTCCACAATCATAGCATCCTTTGTCTTATCGTCAATGATCAAGTAAGAGTAGTTATCGCCGGTTCCCGTCCCTGCGTGCAGTGTTAGAATAGGATATAAGGAGGTAGAATCCCTTGCCGGAGGCAACAAACACATAGGAATAGATTTGATATGCATTTTTCTGATGAGAATAGAGCTGATTGAGAATATTTGGCGAGGCTTGAAGAGAGAGGGAAACATTAGATCAGGAGCTTGGGGAGAGTTGGTCACGAATGACGTCTTCGCCCGGCATAGACTACTCGATTATTCAACAACCTGAGCAACGCAAACCCTATGCCCTATGCCAAACTCCTATCGTTCAGAGTGTGCGGGCAGTCTACTCTAGTATCATATGACCGCGGGAGCTCCGAGAATGGGTTACCTTTCTTATGTATATGAGAAATATTGAGCTATCTCCGCTCCCCACATGGGTCCTGCTGGATACGGTAATTACTCGAGTACAGCGATTGATGGACTACATTGGGCTCCACCTCTCGTCACTCGTCCTGCAGATCCCTAACCCTCGCTTTTTGGGACATATGAGTGCTTGGGCTGGGTGCTATACTCGTCGCCTGTCTCACCTCTTAGGCATGGACAGTGCTGTACGATTAGGCACGCAATTAGTTCATTAAAGCTGAAATCTCAGTGTTCAAGTATTAAGCAGTATATCGTACATGTAGTCGAAGTATATAGCATGCGCTCCGATCATTCCTCCTCCTCCTCCTCGCCTCCCTCTATGATGCGAGCCTTGATAATGGACACATCTTTAACTGGCCTATCTTCCCTATCCCTTTGGACCATTCCCATCCTCTGCACAATTCTCATTCCTGCTGAAACACGTCCGAATATGGTATGCGCCCCATCTAGCCATGGCGTAGGTGCGAGTGTGATGAAGCTGCCGAGGATTAGCCTTCACTCCATCCATTAATCCAAGATCTGAGCGCACAATTGGGATCCATTAGTATCTCTGCCTGAATTGGCCATGGAAAGAATACCGGCACCCGTGTGTTTAAGGTCTTTGTGAATCTCACTGTGATTTCGTTAGCGGGCGTGGATGCATAATTAGGGAGATCGCTGGTGCACTTCACTCTTCAAACTTTCCGCCATAAATTGAAGAACCACCCCGCCCTGTCCCAGTTGGATCACCTCCTTGAATCATGAAATCTGGGATTATTCGGTGGAACTGTACTCGGGATATCAATTTCTGGCACTGGGGGAGGGATAGCGGCTGGGCTCACAATACAGCTGTTGTAGTAACCCCGGTTAACCAAGCCCTCGAAGTTCCGACAAGTTTTCGGAGCATGGTCGTTATACAGTTCGAGCTCGATTTTGCCCTATTTGGTTTGAACAAAGTAAGCATAATTAGGACATATTTCAGAGAGAGGGGTTACCATATTAGTGTCGAGCAAAACTTTTGTCGCCATGTTATCCAGTTGTAGCGGTTGGTGGGGTTCTGGCTGGACTACCGGTAGGCTATGTTACTGGTGGCGGTCATCGAATTTCAATATGGACACCCTATCATCATTCGAGTAAGGCGGTTCTGGGGTCATTCTGAGATTTACTCTCTCTAGCGCACTTTCCGTCAGTTCTCCTCCCAGAGATCCCCCACCACCCCCACTACCGATAATTTACTCGTGTGCTGTGTTCTTTTCACAAACCAAGCCCGCACAGCTGAGTCGGAAAATCGATGTCATGAGTTCGGTAGTAAGTAAGTATTCGTTCAACTCTTCTGTTCATCCCTTCTCCTTATGGCCCATTGTCTCTGACCAGATCAGATAAATCAAAGAACAAATTCGTTCCAAAGGCGAAAGTCCGTCCACGTCGTGGAGCGACTGTCCACTCGGGGCCTTCCAACCTAGCTCTCCCCTCACCGAGGAAGCCATCGCAACCCCCCGAGGAACTTCCGGGACCATCAACGCCTCCACCCGTGCCCGAGCCCGTAGAACCATCGTTACAGCCAGAAACAGGTCGTGAGACACCCGTAACAGAACTTGAGCGCCCGAGACGCCAGGTTTTGGTTCCTGCAATCCGGACTGGGAGCAGAAATGGGATACCATCCATCCGGCAGACGAGCGCAGAGGACCCCTCCTCGCCATCACGCTCCGGGATCCCTATTGTACACTCTTCGTTGAGCCGGGGAATACCAAGGGTACGAGCTGTCGCCCCTGAAGAAGCGCCAACAATACAACTCAGTTCTGCCGAGAGGTCTGCAGAAGCCTTGAGAGTGGTGGATACGAGGCCAAATGTATGGCTGGCCACCGTGATGGGAGGAACAGTTGAAATGCCTGTGTTTCGGGATTCCGAGATTGGTACAGCCCAAGAGACGGGGGAGGTCGGCCAAGGAGATGTACTAGTTAATCCGGAGGAATCTAGCGAGAACATTGACGGAGGAGAGTCATCTACAATTGGAAAGGCAGCGAAGTCTCCAAGGAAGCGGAAAGCTAGGGCAGCCAAAGATGGATTACTCAAGAAGCGGAGGACAACACGAGGGAGACATAAGCCTGTGGAGAGTGGAATCCCGGCACAGGAACAGCAGGGAGAACAGGGCGGTGAGAAGGGAGTAGCTGGTGGGACGGGAGTTAATGTTGAAGGATACAACTCAGACAAGAACCCATACGAAGATCCACCAAAATCCAGTAAACCAAAAAAGACCCGCCGCCCCAGAAAACCCGCAGCTAGAAAGACTCCAAATGAACCAAAGGAACCCGACAACTCCAACGAAAAGAGGCCTAGTGGCCGCTATCGTGCGCCGTCCCCAGAAGATGGAGAGCAGCGCGAGATAACTCCTTCTGTCATAAAGATGAAGGATCTGTGTCGAGACATCAGAATCGGCAGAAAGTCCAAACGTTTTATAGAGCTTGAACAAATGGACTACACGAAACCAGCTAATGATCAGAAGGCCGCAATGGCAGCTCTCGAAGTTAGACAAACTGCCGATGAAGAAGGAGAGCAAGAAGCCGCAGAGGAGGGAATTGAGCGGCTGGCTAACGAGAGGCAAAGGTATGATAAGCCTTGTTTCCACTTTTTTGATGACTATACACTTATATGATGTTACAGTCTTCCAAGAGCCGGTGCTCCGCAAATGCGAATGGTTAACGGTGAACTTGTTCTTGACCAGGAATCCATTCAAGTGAACTCTCACGAACGTAATCCCGTCGACCAGGAGTCTATGGAAGTTGTTGAGGAGAACATGGCATTCCGTCGTATTACATCGGCGACCTATAGTAAACACAAGAGATCCGAAAGATGGGATACAGAAGAGACGGGAAAATTCTACAATGCCTTGTCCATGTTCGGTACCGACTTTGAAATTATATCAAAACTATTCCCGGGCAGGAACAGACAACAGTTGAGGAAAAAGTACCTCAATGAAGAACGGAAGGACCCCCAGAGAATCACCGACGCCTTGAGGACTCGGGTGCCAACCAGTCAGTATTCAGTGCACGTCATCTGCAAGGCCCTTTCGCTAATCAAGGTGCAGATGTTGCGGAATATTCTGAAATGGCCGAGCTCGAGATCGGCGACCCTCAATTGGTTGAAGATGAGCTCGAAAGGATCCGAGAAGCTCACGAAGCTGAAGAGGAGGCCGCGATAGGCCATGCAGCAGCAATGGAGCGCGAAAGGCAAGAAAATGCGAATGCTGCAATGCGCGCTGGGGACGATGCAGCGGCGGCAGCAGCTGATCAAAGCAAGAAAGGCCGGAAGCGGAAGGGTCCCAAGGATAGAGGTGGGACTAATCATGGCGGGGAAGAAATCCTCACGATGAGTAGAGAAGAATACGAAGCGGAAATACTCAGGGAGCTCGCTGAAGCTGAGGATCCGTGATATTTTCGTTTCTGTTGCCTTCCCTCTCTACCTTACTCTAATATTCATGTTCTTCAGGTAATGTGAGGGCATACCGGTTGATCTCAAATGGCGTTGGTGGGTGACCGAATTCTTCGCTCGTCCCAGGCAGAGCTTTCCACTAGTTTTTATTTTCCTACATCGCAAAGTACGGTATCAATGGCTAAGGTAATTTGTAGCATGCTCTAAATAAATTATATGTTTGCTGTCCAATAACTAATCCGCTATAAACCCATAAGTTATAGAGTATGGGGACAAAAGGGATCGTCCGGCACGGCAATGGCAACCCCATAATTACTACTTTATATAAATTTACTACCTATGCAACCACAACCACTTAGAATAAACTGAAAATTTTAAATAGACATCCAATGGATATAAGCAAAACCTTATGTGAAAGTGGAAAGAAAAAAATCAATACTTTGTATACTGTCCCTTTACATCTAAAACAGCAGTCACTCTCTTAGGTATTGACTCCCACAGCCTTTCCAAGAATTCTTCTTTAATATCCTAAGTCTAACCTATATTAAGAGCTTATACTAGATTTATTATAATAGTTTCTAAACTTCCTTTAGTCTTGTAAATGTTAGGAAAGTGCTGGTATAGCTTTTCCTTCCCTCTTTTCCAATAGTAGGTAATAGGATTGAGGTCAAGAGAATTGGATAGCCATTCCATAATCTGTATATAGCTTGCTATAAACTATGCTATTGTATCTATTACACTATACATCTTCACACCACCCTGTTAAAATATAGGATTTCCAATTGGATCCTCTATCTCCTACTAGTAGACATCAACTAAATCTTTTTTTTTTGATTTTTTTGATTGTTTATCTTATATATTCTTTGTTAAGATACAAGAACCTATATGGAGTACTAGCTATAGCAAAAACAAAACCTTAATATCAAACCCTTAAAGAGAAGAAAAATATATATATATGTATCTCCTGTACAAGTAGTTCAACCTACTATACTCAATACAGGAACTAATTATGTAAAGAAAGACAAGCCAGGTACCAAAAGGTCTATAGTATTAGGTAAGAAATGTCAAACAGTAAGAAACAATATTGAACATCCTTTAAGAATATAACAATCCTACTTGAATAAGTGAGGGCAACCTATGTCTATACTCATACATACAATTAGAAGGTTAAGTGGTAGACTAGAGGAACATGCTGGAGCATGTCAGGAGATATCCAATGGTCCAGGTATCCCTATAAGTATAAGGTACTTAAGGGATTAGTGTACCTAAGTAGCAGTAGTAATATGACAATATCTACATGATTTTAAGAATAGATTGGAAGGCTGGATGAAGTCATCCTATCTAAGGGAGTTAGTTACATTATCCTGCCGTGGAGACCATCTTCATTTGACCATAGACATAAGTACCCTGCCTTTGGGACACTATTACCCTACCTTATATAGAAAATGTTCTTAGAGAAATTCCAGGAAAAGTTAGGATTATTTACTATGCAATGATGATTGACTCGGATGAGTACTTGCTTGTATATTAACCAGAAGACTGCAGGAGGAGTGTAGCAGGAAAGGGTCTAAGGGTTCAGGTAGATCAAGGCACACCACTATGGAAGAATCATGTCCCTAAGTGTAGTCATTAAGGGTAGGGGATACTTATTAGCTATAGTTACCTTGTTTAGCCCTCGGTAGTCCATACATAGTCTAAGTCCTCCTCCAGGTTTTGTGGCAAAGAGTACTGGTGCTCTTGCCAGTAACTAACTAGGAACTATTTTTTCTTCTTTGAGCATTTTATCCAAGTACTTACTTAGAGTTTTCCACTTTTTCAGTTATTGAGTAAATTGGTCTCCATGGTGGTTGCGTCCCAGGTAACAGTTCAATTTTATGATCAAATAAGCAGTAAGGTGATAACTTGGCTGCCAGTGGACTTTTGATTAGGTCCTTGAACTGGTGATAAGGCCTTGGAACATTTTTCCATGTGATATCCCAATCCACCTCTAGGTCAGTGAAAGGAGCTATCATCTCTTTACTCTTGCATACATGTCCTACATGTATTGCATTTTCTTCTCATACCAAATTATTATCTTATTCAATATCTATTCCTTCATCACTTGTTCCAACATATTCAGAATATTTTTCAGCATTGAATTCCCACTTTTTTGTGTCTTGGATACCACTTATCAGATGCTGGTCATGCTACCAACTGAAGGGTATAATTATATTGAAGTTTCTCGTATTAGTAACTTTATAAGAGACTTGGGACATATGTTGGTTTTGTCCAATCTCTAGTTGTATTGGATGGGTGTATAGCCATCTGCCTCTTGTGGAGGTAGTTCTGTTACATACCTTAAGGCCTAAGGGTTTGATTCTAGTTTTGGTAGATAGTGCTAACTCATGTACTAGTTTGCTTCTAATTATAAAGATGTTAGAGCCTAAGTCTAATAACATGCAAATCAGGATTTTTTTTCCTTCATAGTAGATGAAGGCTTTGCCTTCAGGACAGTTGTAATGTGCCGGTATTGGAATATAAGTTTTTGCTCGATTAGGGCCTCCTGGAGGGTTATCCTGTTTTCGCTTTATGGAAGTCATTTCATGGTTGTTGTTGGTGTGGGGAATTGTTACCATGCCAGCATGGTTTTAGCTCTCTAAGCCTTCTTAGATAATCTTTGCCTTTGTTATCCTCATTAATGTTATTTAATTATACCAAACTCCAAAGAGCTTATAGAGTCACAGATCGACCTTTTAACCTGGCCTTAGGTGTATTTTAGTTCCAGTTAGCTGCGCTATTACAGCTAAGCATGCTGTACTGCTATTCCCTTGTCAACCAACTACCCCATTGCCATAGCTGTAGGTGCCTCCAGAAATCTTCCCTCTGCAACTAGACCACTTTCTTATTTTGGTATCAGTGACTCAACTGTGCTTCCTGTATGTCTATCAAAATCTGGCAGTCACCTGCGAGAAGAGTGGTTTGTATCTAGTACAGGATCGCAACTTTGCCTAATGCTAATCTGGTCTTTCATTCTTCTGCTCGTGGAATGGTCCAACTTGGAGAAGGTCAAGGTCTAACCTATAGGTACCATTCACCATCATTCTTGACTAAGTGGCCTTATTGTCTATCCCAAAGGTTCATAAGCTTCCTTGCACAATTTCTGTCAGTGGACCAGGAATTATGAATTTCTTCCTCTCCAGGAATTACTACAAAAGACTGATGAGTAACTATTCCGTAGTCTTGATCACTTATCTCTCAAATCCGAGTGACTGGATCATGTGGAGCAAGGTGGATCATCGGCTTGTTCACCTTCTCTTGTACCTCTAATCTCTAGGACCTTAGGACTACATTTTTATACTGGATGAGGTGATTCATAACAGTATCTTCCCAACAATTAGCCTAGTTATGATTTGTGAGCCCGCAACAACTGCAGCCTTGGTTCTTTTATCATATCTTAACTAAGAATTTGGGAATTCCTTTATGTGCCTTTTTCCAATCATGGTATACATATTTTCCATCTCCAATTTTCTGAGTTCTTGGAGACTTTTTAGTCATTGCCTCCTTCTTTTTTCTGGAGCAATTTTAATTTGATCTGGATGACCAGTCTTGTGTCTTCTTCAAATCAGTACCTAGTTATGAAGATTCTTCATTCCTTCATTTTTGTGGGTTAGATGTCCTGGGTTTCCCATGGTCATTTTCCCCCAACTTTATCCTCTTCTCATACTTCTCATATTGGTGCCCGACATGTCATATGTGGGCTCTCCAGGCCCGATCGGTTTCATAGTCACGGTCCTGGTACAATAACTACAGTAGTAAATCCTTAGGCAGTTTGTCATTAACTGCCTTCCTCCATGCAACTCCTATGAGTTGAGCATCAGCAAAAATTATTCCTGCGTCAGGCATGCGGGCAGTGTGTCCTGATGCAAGTAAGAAGAATTGTGCGTCCTGTGCGTCCTGTGCATCTGGTAATCAGGCGCCAGGTGTGCTTGCGTCCTGTGCATCTGGTACTCAGGCCCCAGGTCTAATTGCGTCTTGTGCATTTGGTAGTTGGGCGCCAAGTCAGGTTGCATTCTAGTGCTTATGCTGGGAAGTACCACATCCAGATTACATCCTAAATAAGCGATGCTGACTGCTAGTCGTTACCATCCTGAGATTCTGAGTGATAAACACAGCAGCCAGCCGCTCCTCCTTTACCACCCCCTTACCGCCTCCTCCCTACCGGCTCCCCCCCTACCAGCTCTCCCCCTACTGGCTCCACCCCTACTACTGGCTCCCCCCCTCCCAGCTGCCCTACATTCCAGACTTATTTGTTTACTTTGCCTGGTTTGCTAAGTTAGCGAGCTTCTGGTTAAGTACTGACTTTGATGCAGGATTCCTTGGGTGTCCTTGTGGCGTGGCATCTCATACTCAGCAGCCTGGTTCTACGCGATGCCAACATTCCAACGGTACCTTGGATGTCTTCCCAGCGCCAATAGTGGTCGAGCTACAGCCTGTTATGAAAGTAGTCATTACCCTGGCGGAGTTTTGGCTAAGTGCTGACTTTGTCACCAGATTGCCCGGGCGTCCTTTGGATGCAGCATCTGATACTTGGGGCCCTGATTCTACACAACGCCAGCTTT